CAAATGTCCATCAGTGACAGACTGGATTAAGAAAATGTGGCACATATACACCATGGAATACTATGCAGCCGTAAAAAAGGATGAGTTTGTGTCCTTTGTAGAGACATGGATGCAGCTGGAAACCATCATTCTCAGCAAACTATTGCAAGAACAGAAAACCAAACACCGCATGTTCTCACTCATAGGTGGGCACTGAACAATGAGATCACTTGGACTCGGGAAGGGGAACATCACACACCAGGGCCTATCACGGGGAGGGGAGAGGGGAGAGGGATTGCATTGGGAGTTATACCTGATGTAAATGACGAGTTGATGGGTGCTGACGAGTTGATGGATGCAGCACACCAACATGGCACAAGTATACATATGTAACAAACCTGCACGTTATGCACATGTACCCTAGAACTTAAAGTATAATAAAAAATAAAAAAAAATCAAAAAAGAAAAAAGAAAAAAAAAAAAGAAAATCTCTGCTGTCATGGAACTTAGTCCAATTTAAGCAGGCAAATGAGATCAGTCTTCAACTATGTTCAGTACAAGTCCTTAGATGGCAAATTAATAGCACAATCTAAGTACCAAAAGGGCTAGTAACAAAAGAGGAGAGATTTATCTTCTCTATCAGAGATGGTAAACAAGAAAACTCAGAACTGGAGTCACACCGCAGCTGTGTTTTTTCAACCAATATAGTGGGGTTTTCCCCACAAATTAAATTATTTTCCAACACTTAGAAATTGAAAGATTTCAAATAAAAATAAACATATAAAATTTTGAGCTTCTCTTGAAAACCTCAGAATCTTCAGTATCCTGAAGCCTCCTTTCCCTGCTAGCAGCAATAGGCTGACAGTGACTGTCTGAGATATTTTCTGGCCTCCTCCACCATTTGGCCCCTTCATTTGTTTCTGCTTCTTGCTTTTACCCAAATGCATATGGGATGATGAGCCCTGCTCCATACTCATCTCTGGCACCATATCAGCTCCTGTTCCTTTTAAATGTTTCCTCTTACTTTCCTCTTGTGACTTGTTACCACTGTCTTATACATGGCCTCTGTTACTGTGCACCCAGCAGCAGGGTAGACCACTATAGCCTTACCCCCTATCCATCTCTCCCCAGTAAGGACAGTGTGCATACTTTTACCAGTATGTGTCATCCTATGAGGCAGGATGACAGTAAGTGAAGAAGCAGAGTCATTGCAAGATTGGGAGTGTAAAATAGATGCCATAAGTTACAGGCCTAATATCAGAGGACTAAGGCCAGTAAAGGAACTATGAGGAAGCATCTTTCATTTATTTTTTAGTGTGTGTATATATACACACACACACACACACACAGTATTTTTTCTATATATACATATTTGGCTTTTTGTTTCTTTTACATTTAAATTTTTATTTCAATAGGTTTTGGGGGAACAGGTGGTGTTTGATTACATGAATAAGTTATTTAGTGGTGATTTCTGAGATTTTGGTGCACCCATTACCCAAGCAGTGTATATAGTACTTATTGTATAGTCTTTTATCCCTCACTTCCCCATCTTTTCCCCCAAGTCCGCAAAGTTCATTTATCATTTTTATGCCTTTGTGTCCTCAGAGTTTAGCTCCCACATATGAATGAGAACATAGAATGTTTGGTTTTCCACTCCTGAGTTACTTCACTTAGAATAGTAGTCTCCAGTTCCATCCAGGTTGCTGTGAATGCCATTATTTCATTCCTCTTTATGGCTGAGTAGTATTCTATGGGTGTGTGTGTGTGTGTGTGTGTGTGTGTGTGTGTGTATCACATTTTCTTAATCTACTTGATGATTGGTGGGCATTTGGGCTGGTTCCATATTTTTGCAATTGTGAATTGTGCTGCCCTAAACATGCATATGCCAGTGTCTTTTTTGTGTAATGACTTCTTTTCCTCTGGGTAGATATCCAGAGGTGGGATTGCTGGATCAAATCGTAGATCTGCTTTTAGTTCTTTAAGGAATCTGCACACTGTTTTCCATAGTGGTTGTACTAGTTTACATTTTCACCAACAGTGTAAAAGTGGAACTATGAGGAAGTTTCTGAGAAATGGTAGGTGAGTAAAAACAGGAGGCCAAGGACCAAAGATGAATTAAAAAGAGGGGTGGAAGTGGCCAATAAGCACATGAAAAATTGCTCAATATCATTATACATCAGAGAAATTAAATTAAAACCACTGTAAGATATTGCTACATATCCACTAAGATGGCTACAATTTAAAAGATTGATAATACCAGTCAATGTGGATGTATCAGTCCATTCTCACACTGCTATAAAGATACTACCCATGACTGAGTAACTTACAAAGGAAAGAGGTTTAATTGACTCACAGTTCTACATGGCTGGGGAGGCCTCAGGAAACATAATCATGGCAGAAGGGGAAGAGGCATGCCTTACATGGCAGTAGGTGAGAGACAGCGAGTAAGAGCAGGGAAAATTGCCTTATAAAACCATCAGATCTCATGAGAACTCAGTCACTATCACAAGAACAGCATGGGGAAACTGCTCCCATGATCCCATCACCTCCCACCTGGTGCCTCCCTCGACATGTGAAGATTATGAGGATTACAATCTGAGATGAGATTTGGGTGGGGATACAAAGCCAAACCATATTAGTAGAGCAACTGCAATTCTCATATGTTGTTAGCAGAAATGTAAAATGATACAACTACTTTGGAAAAATAGTTTTGCATTTTCTTATAAAGTTAAATGTATACTTACCATAGGTATTTACCCTTGATCAGCGAAAACATGGGTCCACACACACACTTGTGTATGAATGTTCATAGCAGTTTTTTTCATAATAGCCAAAAACTGGAAACAATTCAAATGCCCATCCCAAGGTAAATGAAAAAGAAATTGTGGTTTTCCACTTAATAGAATACTCCTGTGCAATAACAATTACATGAATTTTTATACATAAAATAACATGCTTGATTCTCAAAAAATTATACTGAGCAAAAGAAATCAGTTATTGTGTAATTCACAAGTGTATGAAATTTAAGAGGCAGAACTAATTTATAGAAAGCAAATTGGTGATTTCTTGGGGCCAAAAGTGAGAGAAAACTGAAATGGGCATAAGAAAACATTTTGAGGTGTTGAACATATGCTATGATCATGATACTGATCATAGAAAATATTCTATGCTTATGATACTGATTACACAGGTGTATATAATTTTCAAGATTCATAGAACTGTATATTTAAAATATGTACAGATTATTGTATGTAAATTTCATGTAAATGAAATTGATTAAGTAAAAAAATACTTTTACAAAACAAGGCAGGCAATCCTAGGAGGGTGACACATAGACAACTGGGATAGATGAGCAGCAAAGGACATGAAATATTAAAAGGACATCAAAGTACTGACTTGGAGACCAAATGAATCCTTGGGACCCTTCCAGCTGCTGTAGATGACTTTTTTCCCCAGAGCTTCCCATATAGACAGCTGCCCTACCCAGTTTGCCTTAAAGGCACTCAGCATCTTCTCTTAGTTTATCAGTTACCTCAAGAACTTTGTATTTCTTCATTGCTTCCCATCACATAAAAAAAGCGAGGATCTGCTCATCCACTTGTTTTTGTAAATAAAGTTTTATTGAAACACAGCCACACTCCCTTGGTTCTGCATTATCTGTGACTACTTTCATACTACAATAACAGATTTGAGTATTTGCAACAGGACTGTGTAACCTGTAAAGCCTCAAATAATTAATATCTGGCCTTTGACAGAAAAATTAGCTTATTCTTCACATAAAGCCACACTTATCTCCCTGGCTCTCAAGCTCTCCCATTCTCTTGCCTACCTCTCTTACCCTTCTTCACATTGTATTTATTCTTCCTATTTAAATTTATTCCCCACTCCTGCCTTATTTGATTCTATATCTAATTACAAGGATTGCCTTCTTGCCTCTATCAGTCCTTGCTAATTCTTCTTTCATGTTGGTATTTAGTCTGTTCCCATAACTTAAAAGGACTTCCTTCTCTTTTGTCTTTCCAGTTCCTATACCTAACTGAATTTCTGTTTCTTCCTTAAAGTTATCTCTTTGCCCCTGCTCTATCTGAACAAATCTTGAATGAATTCATGTCTTGCAGTTAAGTTGTTGGTTACTCTCTAGTTGGGTTGCTTTTACCGACAGCTAGATCAGAAGCTGGTTGAGGGAATATTTCTTCTCTTTATGCCCCTATAGCTTCCTTTCCCACTCCTAGCTCCAATGTTTTGGGGCAGTGTGTCAAATGTCTTTAATCTGTCCATGTCTTTCCATCTCCCATCCCACAGTCCTAGGTCATTGTCTCCTGCTTGGACTATTGCAGTATTATCTTAATTGGCCTCTCTGCTCCATTCTTACCCTTCTCGTCTCTGTTCTCACAGCACTTAGTATGATATTTTTAAAAAGTAAATCATGTTTTCCTCTACTCCTTAAAATGCTTCCATGACTTCCCTTTGCACTTACAAGAATCTGACCCTTGCTTATCCTGCCATCTCCACCTTCTGCCTCTTCCCCTACTTGTTGTACTTTACCCAACCAAGCCCTTTCCTAGCCCACAGCCTTTGTGGTGGTGGCTCCTTTTCCCAAAATCCTCTTCCTCCAGCTGTTTCTATGGCTACTTATCCTTCACTGTCCTCAGACCTCTCTAAAGTCTGGTGCTTCTCCTGAAAAAGAAGTACCTTATATCAAGTAACCTTATTTTTCTCTTTCTAGGGGCCTGGCACACTTGAAAAGTTTTCTATGATTATGTATGATTTAATGGTTTATTGTATGTCTCATTATACCAGTTAATAACCACCATGAGGACAGAGATCTTTTCTATCTTATTTGCTAGTATATCCCCAGCACCTAGCATGGGATCTGACTCACTGAAGACAATAAGCTATTGTTGAATGAATGAACAAGTGAAAACATAGTAGGCAAATAATAAATAACCAGTATTTTCTCTTCTGTTTCCATGAAATTTTTTTAATCCTAATGGAGTTCTTTCTTTACCTAATTTTTGCAGGTACTTCTATTGTGACTGTAAAAGCTTTTGCTCCTGACTCAGTTCAGGACAGCCTGAAATATTCAATTTTTAGTGGAAATGAAGATGGCGTTCTTTCCCTGTGCTCTAAGTCAGGTAATCCTTCTCTACCCTATAATAGCTTTATTTTCTGCTCTGTTTGATGTTATTTCTGCAAAATTTGCAAAGTAGAAATTGTTAGAGCTAACTAATTTAAAAAGTAAGCAAGAAAGAATTTTTTAAGCTAGCCTATGAAAAATTGCAGGAAATCAAGGACTATTTGTTTATATTCACTAAGAATTATATTCTTAATATTTCCAAATTAGACAGTGTCTATCCTGTCCTTCAAACTTTTGAAGATAAATTAGCTTCCACTTACAATTTACCCATCTATTTGGGAAAATTGGAGATAGAGTAGTGAGATCATTGACACTGAGTCCGAATTCAAAATAAGAACATGTCTAGCTGTAAGGAATCTTCATCAGAGATTCTTGTAATTTGCTACTGAATATCAACAACACAACAAAATAAAGAACAGCTGCGAAGGTTTCTATACAGTGGTAAAGAAATTACTTCCAAATACAGCATGTAATAAATTTAGCTTCAGTAAGACCATTACTGTTTTAAATGAATACCAATTGATTATTTCAAACGTACTTTTTTTCACTAACGACTCTGTAGTAGATACACATCTACTGCTTTGTTGTCAAACTTCAAGAAGAATGTTTCTAATAATGTCTATGTTGCCATACAACCGCCTTATTTAATCTATACTGCACGCACCTGGGAAGAATTGAGAGAGGGAAATTCCTTAGGTAAATGTCCTGTCATCCAGGGTGGTGTTATGACTTTTTGGTCCACACAGCCTTTGGTCAGCAACCTTTCTGAGGTAGCCTGCTAGAAGTCTTCATCTCTTCATCCTGTTGTTGCATTAAAGGGTGGTGTAGAAAGCCTGTTCACAAAAGGGCCATTTGTAAACATCACCAAGTCTTAATTTTCTTGCAGTCCAGGTGTCTGAGGGTTATGGGAAAGCAGCCGAGATTACAATGCTTAGGAAGAAAGAAGGGTAACAGAGCTGGCGTATTTTCCCAGGCTATCCAGATCCTCTGCCACCACACTCCTAACGTGGCCCAGACCTGGTCTTATTTCTTCTACAGTCCATCATTAAAATGCAGATAAAATCTTCCTAGAGTTAGTCCAAAGAGGTCATTCACAGGAACATCTTTATTTTTTGATTAGATAACTTGTATACATTGAGTTTTAAAATTTTACTGTGAAATATCTGCCAGATGGTATGTTGAAATGTATAAGACTGTTTACTCCAGCCTGGGCAACAGAGTGGTGAGACTCCGTCTCAAGAAAAAAAAAAAAAAAAAAAAAAAGACTGTTTAATGGACAATAGTAAAATAAAAACCCATATACATGCCACCCATCTCTGGAAACAGACATTTCGGTAGTCCCCCCTTATCCTTAGTTTCTCTTTCTCCAGGCTCAGCTACCTGTGGTCAACCATGGCCCAAAAATATTAAATGGGAAGCTCTAGAAATAAACGATTCATACATTTTAAATTTCTCACTATGCTGAGTAGTGTGACGAAATCTCACATCATCCTACGCCATCCCACCCAGAAGTAAATCCCCTTTTTGTCCAGGGTCTCCACACTGTACATGCTCCCTGTCTATTAGTCAGTAGCTGTCTCAATTCTCAGTTCCACAGTCACATATTGCAGTACTTATATTCATGTCACTCTTATGGAACTTAGTAATGGCCCCAAAGCACAAGTGTAGTATTCTGGCAATTTGGATATGCCAAAGAGAAGTGGTAAAGTGTTTTTTGATTTTTTTTTTGGAAGTGAAAGATGAAAGTTCTCAATTTAATAAGAAAAGATAAAAGATTGTATGCTGAGGTTGCTAAGATCTACAGTAAGAATGAATATTCTGCTTGTGAACTTGTGAAGAAAGAAAAAAAAATTGTGCTAGTTTTGCTATGGCACCTCACAATGCAAAAGTCATGGCCACAGTGCATGGTAAATGCTTAGTTAAGAATGAAAAAGGCATTAAATTTGGGGGTGGAAGACCTGAATAGAAAAACGTGTTCAATTTGACAGTAACATGTTGCACCAGAAAGCATTGAGCCCTCTATGAAGGCTTCAGCAAGGAATCCCCAGAAATGAGTGACCCTAAGCCACTTACTGCAAGTAAGAGATGGTTACACAGATTCGGAAATAGGTTTGGACTGAAAAATACAAAAACTACTGGAGAGGCTGCATCTGCCAACAAAGAAGGTGCTGCCGCATTTCTGAAAATGTTGAATAAGGAGAAAGGAAACCATCTAAAGCCAATCTCTAATTGCCATAAAACTAAGTTTTTGCGGAAGAAGATGCCCAATAGAACCTACATGCATAAAAGTACAAAGGAAGCACCAGAGCATAAAACATGGACAGATGAACTCTGGTACTATGTGGCAACACTGCAGGACATACGATAAAATCAAGTGTCGCATACAAAGTGAAGAACCCACATAGTCTCTAAAACAAAAAATTATCTGCCCATGTTCTGGCAACATAATAAGAAAGCATGGGTGACACACATGTTCTGTTAATATTAGACAACACACCTGGCCATCCTGCTATAAAAATGAAAATGTTGAGGTTGTATTTTTACCTCCAAATAAAACCTCATTGCTTCAGCCCCTTGAGCAGGCATCATTTGGTTTGTCAGGGTCACACACCTGCCTGGTATTTGATCAGCCATTAATTGATGCAGACCATAATCTGGATGTAATGTAATGCTGGAAATCATTCACTGTTGCTGACGCAGTAACGTTCATCAAAGCTGCAATGCATGAATTAAAACCAGAAACTGTAATGCCTGCTGGAAGAACTTCTAGAGTGAAGTCATGAATGATTTTAATGGCTTCCTGGGGATTGATGGAAAAGTTAGGAAAATAATTCACACAGCAAGACAAGTTGGTGGAGAAGGGTTTGCCGACATGCTTGATGAAGAAGTAGAAGAACATATTGAAAGCCACTGAGAAGTGTTAATAAATGAGGAAGAACTTTTTGAGTCATGTACAGAGAAAGGGAAGACAAAGAAGAAACTAAAGCAGAACCAACAATGTAGACATTACTCAAATTTTCTCAAGTGTTTCAAATCACACAGATATGAAAAGACAAAATTATAGAATACAATCCTCAGATAAAGTGCAGCATTGAAGTCACCCATAGGATCATAGGATTATAACTTCTGTACCAACACTTTGATTAAAAACTGACAAGCCTTTTTTTTTTTTTTTTTTTTTTTCCTGAGATGGAGTCTTGCTCTGTTGCCTAGGCTGGAGTGCAGTGGCATGATCTTGATTCACTGCAACCTCCGCCTCCTGGGTTCAAGCGATTCTCCTGCCTCAGCTTCCCAAGTAGCTGGGACTACAGGCGTGCGCCAGCACCCAGATAATTTTTTGTAATTTTAGTGGAGACAGGATTTCAGTGTTAGCCGGATGATGTCCATCTCCTGTCCTCATGATCCACCCACTTCGGCCTCCCAAAGTTCTGGGATTACAGGCGTGAGCCACCACGCCTGGCCAAAAACTGACAAGCTTTTATTACAAGGATTTCCAAAAGGTTTTGGCAAAAGAAAAAAAAAAACAAAACCAACCAACCTGCAACTCTCAAGTACTCCTAACCATCAGCGTCATCTGTTCCTGACATCCAACCATCCAACCATCGACATCATTGTGGCTCGGTGATCCAGGACCACTTGAAGCAGATGATGATCCTCCTCCTGACGTACCATCAGAAGTTCAGTAGTAGCCTACTGCTATGTCACAGTCATTCACCTCAGTTTACCTTATCATGTGGGCATTTTGTCATCTCATATCATCACAAGAAGAAGGATGAATACAGTATGATATGATATTTTGCAAGAGAGACCACATTCACGTAACTTTTATTACGTGAATAAATTGTCCAATTTTATTATTAGTCATTGTTGTTCATCTCTTACTGTGCCTAACTTAGAAATTAAACTTCATTGTAGGTATGCATATATAGAAAAAAGCATAGTACATATAGGGTTTGGTACCATCCACAGTTTCAAACATTCACTGGGGGTCTTAGAATATATCCACCACAGGGAAGGGGGAACTACTCTACTAGAATTTTCAAATTTTCAAAAGTCTCTGTGTGCCCCTTCCTTTTTATATCTCTTTTTTCCTTTTTTTTTTTTTTTTTTTTTGTTTTTGTTTTTGTTGTTGTTCAGAAATGTATGTACATTGCGGAATATCTAAACTGAGCCAATTAACATACACATCACTTCATGTCTCTCTTTTTTGGTCCCAGAGATATTTAGTAACTTGAATTTGTATTGATCACTGGCTTTTTTTTTTTTCTCATAAAGAAAGACAGATTCTCACTATGTTGCCCAAGCTGGCCTCAAACTCCTGAACTCAAGCAATCTCCTTGCCTTGGCCTCCTGAAGTTCTGGGATTACAGGCATGAGCCACTGCACCCAACTGATCACTGACATTTTTGGTTATAATTTTTCCACTGCATTTGAATTTCTAAACAATATATCATTTACTTTTACCTTGACTTAAGTATGATAATAGAATCATGATATGTACTCTTCTATGACTTTATTCCTTTGCTCGACATTTTTACTATGACTTACAGTGCATAAACCATTACATGTTAAAGAGAAATAGCAAAGAATGAAATGTACAGGCTTGCGTGTTTCTTGTTAGATTTCCCCTAAGTATATTATACTTTTTCTCGCTATGGTAAATGAAAAAACATTGCTTTTCCTGACAGTGCTGGTGTATGTATTTGAAACTGGTGTATGTCTTTTGATTTTTTTGTCTGGCAAATTTGCAAACTAGAGATTGACATTTTTCTGTATATTTGACACATAAAATCATATCTGAAAATGACCACTTTCCTGTCTGAAGTTATATAGTTATTTCTCTTATTTCAGTGGCTAGCCTAGTTATTTTAATGTATATGAAGTCCGACATTAATCAATATTCTCTTCCTGAGTAATACAAGAGATTTGCAATTATTGATCTCCAAGTGCTCCTGTTTCAGTTTACATGCTTTTGTGACCACAATTTTGATTCTTTCA